ACTCACTGTTTTTTTTCACGAGATTGGTATGGGGTTTCCGCTTCCTCGAGTTTTGTGCATGTTTTCTTGGCTGGATGTATGGTTAAAACGGCTTACTAACCTTTCATCCCCATTCCATATCTCACCTTGTGTGCGCATTTCCTCGAACGCCTTGCCTTTCCGGGGCCCACCCCACCCATTTCCAGCAACGGGGCGTAATCGTCCGCGATGATCCTCCTTGTAGGCAGGGAAGTCGTATACGAGCCCCTTGAGTTCACACCATCGTTCGCCCGCGAATCAAACTGACGCCCGTATGACTCCAGATATAGCTCTGCCGTCGCTACCGCATTCGCCCCATTCGCACCTGGATGGGGATTCACGTGGATAAAATGCAGCTTGGTTGCACGATCGTTGTATGAGGATGTACAAACCCCTGGTTATTAACGCACATGCAACAGCAATCACCACGCGTTCCCACTATCCATAAACATTCACCAGCTTCTTTTGCTGCCCGCATAAGCCGTTTGCATGCAGCCGGAGCATTCATCATAAAGTAGTAGAGAACATCTGCAGTCGTCGCAACGTTCTCGCCTCCCATCAGTGCCGACAACCCGCACCGCTGGAGGCATATGACAGGGCGCATATGCTTTGATATTCCGTGCATAGGCTTGTCATGCTCCTTGCTGAGCTCTTTCGCCGGATGGTCCCCGTCCGGGGCCACATCATTTGTGAGCCTGCGATAGAGGGAGGGCAGGGGGAGGGGGGGGGTTGGGGTGTGCAAAAAAGTATGTGAATGTGTGCTGGAATGAATGCCTACGGCAGGGAAGCCCAAGGCGGGTAAGCTCAGGCAGGGAAGCACAGGGCAGGGAAGCCCAGGGCAGGGAAGCCCAGGGCAGGGAAGCCCAGGGCGGGTAAGCCCAAGGCGGGTCAGCTCAGGGCAGGGAAGCCCAAGCCAGGGAAGCCCAGGGCGGGTAAGCTCAGGCAGGTAAGCCTAGGCCAGGGAAGCCCAGGGCAGGGAAGCCCAGGGCATGGAAGCTCAGGCCTCAAAATGCCCAGGGCAGGGAAGCCCAAGGGAGGGAAGCCCAGGGCAGAAAAGCCCAGGGCGGGGAAGCTCAGGTAGGGAAGCACAAGGCAGGAAAGCCCAGGGCAGGGAAGCCCAGGGCAGGTAAGCCCAAGGCAGGGAAGCCCAAGGCGGGTCAGCTCAGGGCAGGGAAGCCCAAGCCAGGGAAGCCCAGGGCGGGTAAGCTCAGGCAGGTAAGCCTAGGCCAGGGAAGCCCAGGGCAGGGAAGCCCAGGGCATGGAAGCTCAGGCCTCAAAATGCCCAGGGCAGGGAAGCCCAAGGGAGGGAAGCCCAGGGCAGAAAAGCCCAGGGCGGGGAAGCTCAGGTAGGGAAGCACAAGGCAGGAAAGCCCAGGGCAGGGAAGCCCAGGGCAGGTAAGCCCAAGGCAGGGAAGCCCAAGGCGGGTCAGCTCAGGGCAGGGAAGCCCAAGCCAGGGAAGCCCAGGGCGGGTAAGCTCAGGCAGGTAAGCCTAGGCCAGGGAAGCCCAGGGCAGGGAAGCCCAGGGCATGGAAGCTCAGGCCTCAAAATGCCCAGGGCAGGGAAGCCCAAGGGAGGGAAGCCCAGGGCAGGGAAGCCCAGGGCATGGAAGCCCAAGGCGGGGAAGCTCAGGTAGGGAAGCACAGGGCAGGAAAACCCAGGGCAGGTAAGCCCAAGGCGGGTCAGCTCAGGGCAGGGAAGCCCAAGCCAGGGAAGCCCAGGGCATGGAAGCCCAAGGCGGGGAAGCCCAGGGCATGGAAGCCCAAGGCGGGGAAGCCCAGGGCGGGTAAGCTCAGGCAGGTAAGCCTAGGCCAGGGAAGCCCAGGGCAGGGAAGCCCAGGGCAGGGAAGCCCAGGGCATGGAAGCTCAGGCCTCGAAATGCCCAGGGCAGGGAAGCCCAAGGGAGGGAAGCCCAGGGCAGGGAAGCCCAGGGCGGGGAAGCTCAGGTAGGGAAGCACAAGGCAGGAAAGCCCAGGGCAGGGAAGCCCAGGGCAGGTAAGCCCAAGGCAGGAAAGCCCAAGGCGGATCAGCTTAGGGCAGGGAAGCCCAAAGGAAAGAAGCCCAGGGCAGGGAAGCCCAGGGCATGGAAGCCCAAGGCGGGGAAGCTCAGGTAGGGAAGCCCAGGGCAGGAAAGCCCAGGGCAGGTAAGCCCAAGGCGGGTCAGCTCAGGGCAGGGAAGCCCAAGCCAGGGAAGCCCAGGGCGGGTAAGCTCAGGCAGGTAAGCCTAGGCCAGGGAAGCCCAGGGCAGGGAAGCCCAGGGCATGGAAGCTCAGGCCTCAAAATGCCCAGGGCAGGGAAGCCCAAAGGAAAGAAGCCCAGGGCAGGGAAGCCCAGGGCATGGAAGCCCAAGGCGGGGAAGCTCAGGTAGGGAATCCCAGGGCAGGAAAGCCCAGGGCAGGTAAGCCCAAGGCGGGTCAGCTCAGGGCAGGGAAGCCCAAGCCAGGGAAGCCCAGGGCGGGGAAGCTCAGGTAGGGAAGCACAAGGCAGGAAAGCCCAGGGCAGGGAAGCCCAGGGCAGGTAAGCCCAAGGCAGGTAAGCCCAAGGCGGGTCAGCTCAGGGCAGGGAAGCCCAAGCCAGGGAAGCCCAGGGCGGGTAAGCTCAGGCAGGTAAGCCTAGGCCAGGGAAGCCCAGGGCAGGGAAGCCCAGGGCATGGAAGCTCAGGCCTCAAAATGCCCAGGGCAGGGAAGCCCAAGGGAGGGAAGCCCAGGGCAGGGAAGCCCAGGGCATGGAAGCCCAAGGCGGGGAAGCTCAGGTAGGGAAGCACAGGGCAGGAAAGCCCAGGGCAGGTAAGCCCAGGGCAGGTAAGCCCAGGGCAGGGAAGCCCAAGGCAGGGGAACCTCAGGGCAGGGGAAGCTCAGGGCAGGGGAAGCTCAGGGCAGGGGAAGCTCAGGGCAGGGGAAGCTCAGGGCAGAGAAGCCCAAGAGGATTGTGCCTTTTGTGAGAGGCGAAAGCGTCACTCTATCCAGATATTAGAGCATGGCGGTGGGAGCGCCGTGGCGCAGTGTGCCTGTACCTCTCAAGAGTGACAAATGTGCCAATGCACTGGCATGGTGTTATGCCATGTGGGGGGGTATGGGACCATTTCCAAATCCGACCGAAGGTGCTTACTTCACTGGCATGGTGCGTGATTGGTGATGCATGCTCCAATACGGACCTGCCTGAGATGTTTTTTTTACGCCGACGAGCCATCGGTGCTGCGGATTTGGGTGGCAACTGTATTTAAACTATGCTGCTCCGTGTACAGGTGGTTCACGCCTTGCTCCTTCCTACAACGACTGCTAAACCAACCTCTTACGCTCCGTTTTCGCGCGTCCTTAGTGATGCGTAATGGCGCTGCATGGAGACCCTAATCAAGAGCAATGCGACCGTGCGGGAGTTTCAGCTGAGAGGCGCACGGGTGCGCTCTGCCATATACTACGTGGGGCGCGCTTTGTTCGATGGGACCTGCGTTTATGGCGCAAGTTGCGCATTAGCTACCCTTTTCAACCCTGGCAAATGCTTATGTACTCTGTCCTCTAAGACCTAGATGTTCTGGGTGCTTGTCTGTTATCGGCGAGTTGAATGCGGCATGACAATAGCGTTTTCTCCGCTTTTTTTTATTCATCAGGTGGGTGTGGGAGTGGTGTGTCGAATTGGTTTGTGTACAAGGCGTACCTAGGGTTGTGTCCGAAGTGTGGTGGTTGGTACGCCAAACTTGTGTTATGTTTTTTACCACAAACTGGTTCTTCACTGTGATTGGGTATCATTCAGCTGCGGACAACAAGCTTTCGCCACCCCCAAAATCGCCAATTTCGCTCATGCGGTACCCCACTTCCAACACCCTTCCCCTTGGAAGTCTCTCGCCAGGCTCATCCCCCCCCATCAAGATTACTATTGTTGTGCAATTTGGGCCTTGAGCTTTAAACAACTTATACATATGAGTATAAACAGCTTATCTGGGCTCTACATGAGCTGCATTTTTTTGTCTGCGAGAACATATGAACAACAAAAAATATGACTGAAATCTAGACCAACAGACTAAATTAGTCTGATAACGAGAGCCCTGGTTGCAACTCAGTTTGGCAATAGAGGGCTTCTGATTACGGGATTGACGATAGCTTAGCTAATATGGCGTGGAGGCAAAAGTAATGGGATCACATGGAAAGCCAAGGATGGCTCAACTACTAGATATATATCAACTAGCTCATTGCATGCCATCAACTAGTTCGTCGTACCGTATGACAACCATGCATGAAACTACATCAGAGCTGGGTGTAGATTAAGAGTACTAAGCATCATAATGAAAAGCTCTCTGAAAGGAACACTATGCCAGGCACTGTCCCACGATCCCTGCCCAACTGACCTGCGTTGGAACTTGGAATGCTTTGAACAGCTGCCTGAAATCAGGACCCGACCCGAAGCTCCATCTCACTGGTGTCGCCATCGTTATTGTCGCGCTGTACATCCTGCACAATCTCCTCCGGTTGGCTGGTTCCACTGTACTACAGTGTAACGAGGAAATTTACGACGACGACAATCACCTCCCAATATCGGATGGGTCGGACGGAATTGCCCTTCACGCGGTAAATCACGCGGAATTAGGGCGTGTTACATTTTCGGTTTTTTTCCAAACGGACCGGACCATCTGAACGGTTAAAATCGGTTTTTATGTTAAACGCTTTGTTCAAGTGGGTTTCAGTTTGTTTCAGAGTGGTTAATGTCCGGACCGTACGGAAAAATCGAAAATGTAACACGCCCTTACCTCCCTTTCTCCCAAGTTCACTCCCTAGTTCACAAGCACAGCGAAATCTTTAGTTCGCCCTTCAGCTGTGTCAGCGCGCTCCATTGCCCTCGATCGACTGGATTCGAGCCACCGTTTTGCTGCCGCGAGAAATCCATTCCAAATGGTGTTCGCGTGGGCGAGTTTGCATCTCTCCTTGAATTGTCTCATCTCCGCGTCAACCATGCGGGCCCGCCCAGCTTTCGTTTTTAGGGACCCACAGCCATGGCGGCTGCAACCTCAGAGCCCCGGACGCTAGAGCGTCTCTGCTCGTCCAAAATCGCCAAGCACCTCAAGCGCGCCTCGTCCCTGCTGGGCTCAGGCGACCTGTGGCAAATGCACGCCGACGCGGAGGAGGCGAAGGCCACCACCCTCGCCGCTCAAGGCGGCGACGGCGCGGGTTCCGTGCGACGGCCGTGGAAAATGAGCAGCCGCGTTGTCGCGCGCATCGAGGCGTCGCTGTCGCGCTTCACGTGGCGGAAGCCGCCGCCTTCTCCCACGGCCCCGTGCAAACCGCCCAGGTCGCCGATAGCCGCGAGTGTCACCGCCGATCCGCCAGCATTTTCGCCGAAATCGCCCAATCTTGCGTCGAGGAGGTTCAAGCAGCGCGGCGCCGCGGAGTCGCAGATTCAGTTCCGCGTCTCCCCGTCCCCGCGTTCCTCCGCCGCTCGCGTCTCTCCGGGACTTGATTCCGCTGCCGCCCGCAAGCGCAATGCCGCGCACGCCACACAGGAGGAGCCCGTCCTGGGTCGCGGGGCGTCCGCCGCTCGTCGCGGGCGGGCAAGCTTGAGCATGGATGAGGGGCAGCTGCGCGCATGGCAGCTGCACGGTGCAGCAACGCCTTCAGACGCCGTTGACAAAGACAGTCTAGACAGGAATGCCGTTACTACTGGAGACGTTTTGTTTCCAAAGAAGCAGGCGGAGGATCTGAACCTGGAGGATTTGGGTCGTGCTGGCATGACAGAGCGGTCTTTCGTGCGCAGCGGGCGGTGCGCTCAGAGCGGACCGCTGCGGCAGCGGAGAGACGGCAACCAGCCGAGCAGCAGGGTCACATGGAGCCCTGCTGCTAGCGGCAGCGGAAGGGCCGCCATGGAGAGCCCTGGTACTAGTGGAAGCGGGAGAGACAGCATGGGGAGCCCCCATATTAGCGGAAGCGGGAGAGGCGGCAGCAGCAGGGCAATGGTGGTAGGCGCGTCTCGGTCGCTCACTCCCCCTCCCAGCCCAACTGTTAAAACATTCTCGTTCGAGGCGTACCGGCAGCAGCAGATGGCCGCGCAGTGATGTCCTAGTTGTGTGTTTGCCGGGAGGTGTTTGCCTCGCTGATCGCTAGTTGGTTGTGTGCTGAAAGTATTGCTTGCTGTTGCCACAGCTAAAAGTGAAATTCATGTTCATAGAGCTTATTTCATGTTCATAGAGCTTATTTCATGTTCATAGAGCCTATTTCATGTTCACAGGGCTTATTTGATGTTCATAGAGCTTATTCCACGTTCAAAGAGCTTGTTACATGTTCATAGATCTTATTCCATGTTCAGAGATCTTATTCCATGTTCATAGATCTTATTCCATATTCATAGTCCTCTAGCATAACGAGAACCATCATATGCCCTTCAACGGTTCAGATGTGTGGTGAAAGACTCGGATCCAGATTTGAGTAGCTTTGGTGCGCAACAGCTAGTTTCCTCACGATGTAACATGGTTCTTTTGAGGATCTCTAGTTTGAGAATCGAGAAATTCAAACCGAGCTGTATCACTCACCAGGGTACCCTGCGAAATTCCATCCTTACACCTCCTGCTGCGGCTCGCGGCCTACCCTCCCTCACCGCGCCGCACACCAGTTTACGTGATAAAATACATCGCATTTTGCGTGTGCTTCGGGGATGACGTGTCAGTCGATCGCCAGGTGGATCGACGGCACTGGTCGCGCCATGACGTCAGCCTCTCGTATAAGTACCGCGCAGGGTCACGACATCAACTTATCGCGTTTCCTGACCGGCAAGTCTAACGGTTTACGCGATCGTACAGAATCCCGGCGCGCGACGGATGCCGGCAGCAGCGGAACCGCCAGACGACCGTTCCTGTTGCGGGGAGGCGTTGAAAGTCCAATCCGGGTCACCGCTGCGCGCTCCGACCGCTGTGGGTGTAGCAGATCGCTGGTTCCTGCTGCTTTCGCGTTGACTCATAAGCAGACTAATTCTAGGAGGTCGCTCGTATGCTCGCGATCCGCCGGCGCGCCTTGCGCTACGAGCGCCATTCACGATGATTGGCGATCCGCGACTTGCATTCCCTCGCTTAGCTTGATCAGCCAAAGTGTCACATGTCCTGTCAGCGTGATTGGCGCGCAACATGCGCATAGCTTCCGCCGATACAGCACGATCTGCCAAGCGCGGGCGGAAAGCGGGAGCGCGGAGGCACGGAATGGTGCGGGGATCGGCGCGGATGCGCGCGGGGGAAGAGAGGGGTTCGCGGCGGACGGGATCATTGTTCTGGCGGGCGGACTGAAGAGAGACGGCACCGTTCCAGGTGCGCCGGCAACCGCTTGCATTGACAGCCCTTGTATTGGCTGCAGCACCCACTGGTATCCCTCATTCATTCCTCCCACGATTTCTTTTTTACGTACACCCTTCGATCCCATCCACCTTCCCCTTTTCTTTTTCCCTCCCCGTCTCCTCCCCCTTCCGCTCCCGCTTCTTCATCATTCCCCCTCGCGCCGCAGAGCAGAGTGGGTGGCGCGGCGCCTGGATGCAGCGGCGGAGCTCTACTGCGCCATGAACGGGGAGGAGGGGGATGCCGCCATAAACGGGGTCCAGGGGGGCGCCTCCGCCTCCGCCAGCGCGTGCCGCTGCCCCATAGTGGTGCTGGGGGCGGGCACTCCGCACGTGCAGCCGGTGCTGAGTCAACACGGGCACATGTGGCATGAGAGCAGCGCGTGCGCTCAGTACCTCATGGACAAGGTAGCGTTTGGGGCAGGTAGCGTTTGGGGCAGGTAGCGTTTGGAGGAGGTAGCATCTGGGACATATAACATCTAGGGCAGGTAACAGTTCCTCGTGTTGAGAATGTGCGAGTCAGAGTGTTAGTGAGTTCGAGCGACAGAGGGTTCGAGGGTGAGTGAGAGCGTGAGAGATGCTGTGCAGTTCAGTCTTGGGTGGAACGGTAGCATCTGGGGCAGGTCGCTGTAGCTCAGTGACAAGGTAGCAAGGTAGCGCCTGGGGAGGGTGCGTACACCCAAGGAGGGAGGTTATGTGACTGAGAAGTGGTGAGTGCAATGCTGCGCAATAGATTCCTGTTTAGAACGTTGCTCATGCATCAACACAGCCGCCTGCCACACCTCTCCGCCCCATCCCCCCCCACAGCACGGCACGGCATTCCCTCCGCACACATCTACAAGGAGTGGGCGTCGTACGACACCGTGGCAAACGGCTTCTTCTCCCTCGTGTGGCCCCTCAAAACGGTCCCTCCCCACTGTTCCCCCATCCTGCTCTTCCCCCCCTCAGCACGGCATTCCCTCCGCACACATCTACAAGGAGTGGGCGTCGTACGACACGGTGGCAAACGGCTTCTTCTCGCTCGTGTGGCACGCAGTGCCGCGGCGCTGGCAGCGCCTGCTGGTGCTCACGTCCGCCTTCCACATGCCGCGCTCTGCCCTCATCTTCCACTGGATCTTCTCCCTGCATGGCTCGGCGCATTCTCTTCCGCGCTCTCCTCACTCTCCTCCGCTGCTTTCACCATCCTCCTCCTCCTCCTCCTCCTCCTCCTCCTCCTCCTCCTCCTCCTCCTCCTCCTCCTCCTCCTCCTCCTCCTTCCTCCCCCTCTCCCCCTTGCGGCCACCACACGGCCAATGGGAGGAGTACATTCCCCCCTGGAGGGACCATGGGGGAAGGGCGGACGGAAAAGAGGAGACTGTGGAGGGGGAAGGTGCATTCAGGGGAGGGTGGTCTGCAGGACAGTGTGGGGAGAAGGCAGGGGGAAATGGGGCTCCGTTGGGGGATTCACCTGATCAGGTGGTTTCTCAGGTGGCGTCACCTGGGGATCCGTTGGAGCAGGGCTATGAGATTCGGTTCATCAGTGCATCGGATGCCGGAATCAACCCTGACATGATTCAGGTGCTTCCCACCCCATCCATGCTCCACTACACATACCACTACCCTCACATGGTTCAGGTGAATCCATTCCGCCCTACACACACCATCTACTTGGAATCAGCATGAGTAGTTACCCCATCCCGTACACACCCCCCTACACACACCATCTGCATGGAATAGCCATGTCACCTGCATGGCATATGCACGGCATCACTGTTTGCAGCACTAATTCACAGCACTCCCATCCAAGCCTGCTCTCCCCTCCCTCCTCCCTTTCAGCCGAGCTTAGGCAAGGAGGCGGGCAGCATTCGCCTGCTGCAGCAGTGCATGGCATGTCTGCATCTTCTTCCTGCCTCGTCCTGTTCCCCACCACCACTCCCAACACTCCCCTGCTCTGTATCCCCCTCCCCTCTGGCATTCGCCTGCTGCTGCTCTTCATTGCATCAGTGCGCTCCCCGCCAGCCTTCTACCCCTACATACACACGGAGCATCCTTCCCAACACTTCCCTCCTCTTACTCCATCTCCCTCTCAATCCCCATCCCTCCCAGGCCCGGCAAAGCAAGGAAGCGGACAGCATTCAACTGCTGCTGCCCTACATTGCTTCAGTGCGCTCCTTGCCGGCCTTCCACCACTACATGCACACAGAGCACCCCTCCCAATTCTCCCTTGTCTGCTCAATTCCCATTCCTCCCAGGCCCGGCAAAGAAAAGAAGCAGACAGCATTCGCCTCCTGCTGCCCTACATTGCGTCAGTGCGCTCCCTTCCTGCCTTCCACCACTACATGCACACACAGCACCCTACCCAATACTTCTCCCTTCTGTACTCAATCCCTCATCCCTCCCAGGCCCGGCAAAGAAAGGAAGCGGACAGCATTCGTCTGCTGCTGCCCTACATTGCGTCGGTTCGCTCCCTTCCAGTCTTCCACCACTACATGCACACGCAGCACCTATCTCATTCTTTCCTTATACTCTCATTCTCCCCCTCTCCCAGGCCCGGCAAAGCAAGGAAGCGGACAGCATTCGCTTGCTGCTGCCCTACATTGCTTCAGTGCGCTCCTTGCCAGCCTTCCACCACTACATGCACACGGAGCACCGAGCATACAACGTGCAGCACCAGGAAGAGTTTGGACGGGTGAAGAGTGCCGAGGAGGCGACGTTTGATCCCATCAAGCTGTGCTACTGAAGGGGTGTGGAGGGATGTGGATGGGTGGTACGTGGTTGAACTGAACGGAGAGTCTGCCAGCCTTCCACCACTATATGCACACGGAGCACGGGGCTATGATGTGCAGCACCAGGAAGAGTTTGGGCGGGGAAGGAAGAGTGCAGCAGAGGCAACGTTTGATCCAATTAAGCTGTGCTATTGAAGGGGTGTGGAGGGATATGGATGGGTGGTACGTGGTTGAAGAGAGAGGCCGCAGAGAGTCTTCCAGCCTTCCACCACTACCATATATGCACACAGAGCACCGAGCGTACAATGTGCAGCACCAGGGGGAGTTCGGGGGGGGTGGGGTGAAGAGTGCAGGGGATGCGACGTTTGATCCGATCAAGCTGTGCTATTGAAGTCATTTCGGTGGTGGCTGAGTTTTTCAGTGCTGTGCGGACAGGTTTAATCTTGCATCAGTGCAAAACTTGTTTGAATGCTGACTTGTCAAAGTATTTTTACAGATGCGGGGTGGGGAAGTGGCTTACCATAAGTTTAATAGTATCAATTTCAAAAGTACATATTGATGCTCCATACTGATATCAGTACGGTAATTATGATCCAGTGGAGATATCTCAGTACCAAAGGGTCCATGTTCACTAGAAGTTCCGTTTACTGATCTCAGTATCAAATAGTACCGGTAACTGATCTAATTGAGAACTAGATGTTGATAATCTGCTACACTAGATAGTACACTATTGTACTACCCATGCACTGTAGGTATACATGGGGGGTTCCTCTTAGCCGCCAGGAGCAGAGCTCCTGACGTTACACCCACCGCGGTGAGGTGGGAACCATCGCTTGGGACCCTGTTGGGGGGGGGAGGAGAGAGAGAAAAAAAAAAAACACAATGCATACTGCCCAGGGGAACCTGATGGGGAACCTGATGGGGAACCTGATGGGGAACATGATGGGGAACCTGATGGGTGGGGAACCTGATGGGGAACCTGATGGGGAAACTGATGGGGAACCTGATGGGTGGGGAACCTGATGGGGAACCTGATGGGGAACCTGATGGGGAACCTGATGGGGAACCTGATGGGTGGGGAACCTGATGGGGAACCTGATGGGGAACCTGATGGGTGGGGAACCTGATGGGGAACCTGATGGGGAACCTGATTGGGAACCTGATGGGGAACCTGATGGGGAACCTGATGGGGAACCTGATGGGGAACCTGATGCGGAACCTGATGGGGAACCTGATGGGGAACCTGATGGGGAACCTGATGGGGAACCTGATGGGGAACCTGATGGGGAACCTGATGGGGAACCTGATGGGTGGGGAACCTGATGAGGAACCTGATGGGGAACCTGATGGGGAACCTGATGGGGAACCTGATGGGGAACCTGATGGGGAACCTGGTGGGGAACCTGGTGGGGAACCTGGTGGGGAACCTGGTGGGGAACCTGGTGGGGAACCTGGTGGGGAACCTGATGGGGAACCTGATGGGGAACCTGATGGGGAACCTGATGGGGAACCTGATGGGGAACCTGATGGGGAACCTGATGCGGAACCTGATGGAACCTGATGGGGAACCTGATGGGGAACCTGATGGGGAACCTGATGGGGAACCTGATGCGGAACCTGATGGAACCTGATGGGGAACCTGATGGGGAACCTGATGGGGAACCTGATGGGAACCTGATGCGGAACCTGATGCGGAACCTGATGGGGAACCTGATGGGGAACCTGATGGGGAACCTGATGGGGAACCTGATGGGGAACCTGATGGGGAACCTGATGGGGAACCTGATGGGGAACCTGATGCGGAACCTGATGGAACCTGATGGGGAACCTGATTGGGAACCTGATGGGGAACCTGATGGGAACCTGATGCGGAACCTGATGCGGAACCTGATGGGGAACCTGATGGGGAACCTGATGGGGAACCTGATGGGGAACCCGATGGGGAACCTGATGGGGAACCTGATGGGGAACCTGATGCGGAACCTGATGCGGAACCTGATGCGGAACCTGATGGGGAACCTGATGGGGAACCTGATGGGGAACCTGATGGGTGGGGAACCTGATGGGAACCTGATGGGGAACCTGATTGGGAACCGGATGGGGAACCTGATGGGGAACCTGATGGGGAAACTGATGGGGAACCTGACGGGGAACCTGATTGGGAACCGGATGGGGAACCTGATGGGTGGGGAACCTGATGGGGAACCTGATGGGGAACCTGATGGGGAACCTGATGGGGAACCTGATGCGGAACCTGATGGGGAACCTGATGGGTGGGGAACCTGATGGGGAACCTGATGGGGAACCTGATGGGGAACCTGATGGGGAGCCTGATGGGGAACCTGATTGGGAACCTGATGGGGAACCTGATGGGGAACCTGATGGGGAACCTGATGCGGAACCTGATGGGGAACCTGATGGGGAACCTGATGGGGAACCTGATGGGGAACCTGATGGGTGGGGAACCTGATGAGGAACCTGATGGGGAACCTGATGGGGAACCTGATGGGGAACCTGATGGGGAACCTGATGGGGAACCTGATGGGTGGGGAACCTGATGAGGAACCTGATGGGGAACCTGATGGGGAACCTGATGGGTGGGGAACCTGATGGGTGGGGAACCTGATGGGGAACCTGATGGGGAACCTGATGGGGAACCTGATGGGGAACCTGGTGGGGAACCAGGTGGGGAACCTGGTGGGGAACCTGGTGGGGAACCTGGTGGGGAACCTGGTGGGGAACCTGATGGGGAACCTGATGGGGAACCTGATGGGGAACCTGATGGGGAACCTGATGGGAACCTGATGGGGAACCTGATGGGGAACCTGATGGGGAACCTGATGGGGAACCTGATGCGGAACCTGATGGAACCTGATGGGGAACCTGATGGGGAACCTGATGGGGAACCTGATGCGGAACCTGATGGAACCTGATGGGGAACCTGATGGGGAACCTGATGGGGAACCTGATGCGGAACCTGATGGAACCTGATGGGGAACCTGATGCGGAACCTGATGGAACCTGATGGGGAACCTGATGGGGAACCTGATGGGAACCTGATGCGGAACCTGATGCGGAACCTGATGGGGAACCTGATGGGGAACCTGATGGGGAACCTGATGGGGAACCTGATGGGGAACCTGATGGGGAACCTGATGCGGAACCTGATGGAACCTGATGGGGAACCTGATGGGGAACCTGATGCGGAACCTGATGGAACCTGATGGGGAACCTGATGGGGAACCTGATGGGGAACCTGATGCGGAACCTGATGCGGAACCTGATGGGGAACCTGATGGGGAACCTGATGGGGAACCTGATGGGTGGGGAACCTGATGGGAACCTGATGGGGAACCTGACTGGGAACCGGATGGGGAACCTGATGGGGAACCTGACGGGGAACCTGATTGGGAACCGGATGGGGAACCTGATGGGTGGGGAACCTGATGGGTGTTGAACCTGATGGGTGGGGAACCTGATGGGTGGGGAACCTGATGGGGATCCTGATGGGGAACCTGATGGGGAACCTGATGGGGAACCTGATGGGGAACCTGATGGGGAACCTGATGGGGAACCGGATGGGGAACCTGATGGGGAACCTGGTGGGGAACCTGACGGGGAACCTGATGGGGAACCGGATGGGGAACCTGATGGGTGGGGAACCTGATGGGTGGGGAACCTGATGGGTGGGGAACCTGATGGGTGGGGAACCTGATGGGTGTTGAACCTGATGGGTGGGGAACCTGATGGGTGGGGAACCTGATGGGGATCCTGATGGGGAACCTGATGGGGAACCTGATGGGGAACCTGATGGGGAACCTGATGGGGAACCTGATGGGGAACCTGATGGGGAACCTGATGGGGAACCTGATGGGGAACCTGATGGGGAACCTGATGGGGAACCTGATGCGGAACCTGATGGGGAACCTGATGCGGAACCTGATGGGGAACCTGATGGGGAACCTGATGCGGAACCTGATGGGGAACCTGATGGGGAACCTGAGGGGGCACCTGAGGGGGAACCGGAGGGGGAACCGGAGGGGGAACCGGAGGGGGAATCGGGTGGGGGAATCAGAGGGGGAAACTGATGGGGGAAACTGATGGGGGAAACTGATGGGGGAAACTGATGGGAAACTGATGGGGGAAACTGATGGGGGAAACTGATGGGGGAAACTGATGGGGGAAACTGATGGGGAAACCGATGGGGAAACTGATGGGGTAAGCTGATGGGGATGGAATGAGGGAGAAGGGGATGGGATGAGGGAGAGGACGTACCTCCTGCAGGAAGGCAGGCGAGTCGACCACCAGGCGTGACACCTGTGGTGCGGTGGGGGCGGTGAGGGGAGGGAGAAGGTCAGGTAGTTCAAGGGTAGTTGGGAAGAAGGAGGATGAATGTGGATCATGGAAAAGAGAGCGGTGGTGGATGAGGAGAGAGGGGCAAAGGGGCGTGGGATGATGCAGCAGTGGAGTGGAGGCTAATGGAGCTCAACCAACCACCTGTCGATACTCAAGTCGATGCTCAAGTCGATGCTCAAGTCACCAGCGTCTCCATCACCATCTGGGCTATGCATGCTGTGACCCATCTGGGCTATGCATGCTGTGACCCATCTGGGCTATGCATGCTGTGACCCATCTGGGCTATGCATGCTGTGACCCATCTGGGCTATGCATGCTGTGACCCATCTGGGCCATGCATGCTGTGACCCATCTGGGTCATGCGTGCTGTGACCCATCTGGGCTATGCGTGCTGTGACCCGCAACTTTGGTCTGTTTTGAAACCCCATGTGACCCACCCCACCTCGACGCTCTATCTATGTGAGTCGACGCTCTATCTGTGAGTGAGGGCATGAGATTCAGTAAGGTGAGGGGGAATGAGGTGTGGTTGTGAGGGATGGACATGGCGCGATGGAGAGGCATGACTGATTTCGCTGTTGAGCTGCTGCAGCAGGGTGGAGGAGACGGGGTCGGGTGCATTGGCGTCCGTCCGGAGCGAAGATGAGGAGAATGCGCCGCAGCAACGCCAGAGTCAGATCGCCACACACCTGTTGTCATGTGTGCACACACACATGCACACCACGCATACATGCACATCAGATTTGCACACGCACAGGCACACGTACACACACACACACAGACACACATGGTATATCAATAATTGCAAGTGTGATGCACGTGACGTATTCTATGGATATGAGCATGCGCTGTGATACTTGTGATGTGTGTGATGCACGTGGCGCATGTGGTTCATGTGGTGCATGTGATTCCATCCCACACATCCCTCTCACCTCTTTCCTCGCCTCCTGGTTGGCTATCAGGTCCTTAGGCAGCAGCACCACCTGCGCCATGGCCTGGCCCTCACCCACAGCAGCAGCCACAGCAGCAGCAGCCCCCCACCCACCCACCCACCTCCCGTCTGGTGCAATTTCTGAGGCGCCTCAAACCACCCCGACCCCACTTCCCTTCAAACCCTCTTCCCCACCCCAACCTCATTCCTCACCTCTTTCCTGGTCAGCCAACAAGTCCTTAGGCAGCAGCAGCACCTGCGCCATCGCCCTCAGCTTTGGAAAGCATTCCCCCGGTCCCCCCGTCACTGCCACTGCCGCTTCCGCTGCTGCCGCCGCACTGGGGGGGAAACGAGGAGAGGCGGGATGAGCAGCAGAGGAAGAGGTGGAAGAGGAGGAAGAGGAGGAGAAGAAGGAGAGGGAGGAGGAGGGGGAGGGGTCCGAGGGGTCGAGGGCTCCAGCCCAGAAGGCAGTGGTGGTGGCGAGGAGGGATGAGGGGAAGGGCGGAGGGGTTGGGTGGGTGGGAGGATGCGAGGAGACAGTCGATCTGGGCATGCATGTGAGCGTCGAGGTTGTGAAGCATGGTCGCCCATGCCGACGTCAGTGAAACATGGTCCCCCATGCTGACGTCTGTGACGAGGTGAGGGAAAGGGGGGAGGGGGAAAGGACGGGGGGGGCGGAGAGAAGGGGGTGGATGTAAGCCATTTAGGGGCGCGGCATGCTTGGCAGGGCAAGAATACAGAGCATGCGCAAAGACTGTTGCACTGCACGCATGTATTGAAGGTGCTGTGACTTCCATGCGCGGTTGTTCCACGTGTCCTGCAACGTTTGAGAACAAGTCAATGAGCACGGGCTGAGAGTCAGTCATCGTCAGTCACGTTCGATCAAGGCGGATCAGAATTGGTCAATGCAAGGGGAGGTGAGGGGAGGCGAGCGGAGGGGAGGGGAGGGGAGGGAGAGGAGAGAGGGAAGGGAAGGGAAGGGGAGGTACTGACGGCGTATTTGAGGTGCATGCCGTGCGAGTAGGTGAGCTTGCCCGTGGCTGTGAACGGCAGGGCGGCAGGCTCGGTGACAGGGTCGGCAAGAGGTTCGGCAGGCGGCGCGTTGAAGATTGCCGAGTCAAGGCGGAGCAGACAGTACTTTAAGACCTGGCGGGTGGGGATGGGATGGGGCATGGTATGGTGTGGGGAATGGGGGACGGGATGGTGGATGGTACGGTATAGGGAATGGGGGAAGGGATGGTAGAATCGAGATTTGAGACATCTCAGAATGGAAGAGTGCTGAGTGAAAGCGAAGCAGACAGTGAATGAAAAAACAGCATACCGTCCCAGAGCAGCTCTGGGAAATAAGCCTGATAGAGCCGAGCAGCAATTTCTGTTTCTCCAGCAGGTAATGGCGGCAGCTTTTTCAATCGACTGAAGGATACAGGCAACAACCCAAGGTACACCTTTCAGACAAAGGTTCACCTGGTTCTCCTGCAGGTACAGGCAGCCACAGCATCGCCCCATGGCACGCTGCGGACAGAGAATGAAGGACGCATCGTGCAGCACCGCTCTCCACCGCTCCACACCCACTAGCTTGCTCCACCATGGGGCCCTCTCAGCGTCTTTTAGAAAGAGGGGTGTGGGATGGGAGGAGATGGGTTGACGGGAGGAGATGGGTTGACGAGAGGAGACGAGGGTGGAAAGGAAAAATGGGGACGTGAGGTGAGACGGGGGATGGTAGTGGAAAGAAAGGGAGCGACGGGGAGGGATCTGAGTAGAAGAGTGAAATCCCAAAAAAAACCAGGAATATCACCGGTGCGGTGCGTACATGAGCGAATTCGCCTCTCTAGGGTGCACGCCCAGCACCCAGACACCACGGCATACGTGCAGCGCCCAGACACCACGGCATACGTGCAGCGCCCAGACACCACGGCATACGTGCACGCGGAGCATGAAGCTGAGCGCAGGGCATGCGAAACGCCAACCGAGGGACAGTAACCGCCAGAAGAAGCACAGCGTGAACGCCCCAGTGAGCCCTCCGGCAAGTCTGCCTGCTGAGCGGCAGAGAGCTTCCGGCCGAGAGAGTGGAAGGCGAGCACGCGGTGCATCAGGACACATCACCAGTCACCGCTAGGTCCCTATGAGCATGCAGCGCGTGCCAAAACCAGACAGAGACACGCACCAGCGATCCTGCTGAGTGTGGAAGGCGAGCATGACGCTGGCGCCGTGAGGTGAACGCGCCGTTGATGCTCGCTAGGCCCGCAAATTCGTAGTGGGAGCTTTACGGAGAAGCAGGGAGCATCGCGCCGCGTCGTTTCTACGCGTGAACTAGGATCGACCGTTGACGAGTCCGAATTTAACGGATCGTTCCACGTTGGCCGCCATCAGCGATTTTTGAGACCCGTAGGCTTGCTGCGGTCGAAACTCTTCCTAGTCTTGAATCCATGTAACGAGGATTGCCAGTAACAAATGCGCGTAATCTGTACACTCGCGTGCGCCGCGTGGAGTCGACATGAGCACCGAGAAGGCGAGACAAATAGAGGCTTGACGAGTCGCCGAGGATATCGGAGTACCAAATATCGACTGAGTTACAAGATCTGCCCGACATGATCAGGATCGCAGAGACTGCGGCGCGTTGTGCAGAAAACCACTATAAAGTGCATAATTGCTATAAAATTTGATCACTATCACCTTCAGAGATACATATTAATGCTCCATACTGATATCAATATTCAAAATTGATCCAGTTGAGAGATCTCAGGAAAAAAAAAATCAACCAGAGGGTCCATGTTCACTGAACTTCTATTTACTGTTCTCCGTATCAAATATTTATGGATCTAACTGAGAACTAGGTATTAATAATCTGCCATACTAGATAGTATACCAATGTACTACCCATGCACTGTAGGTGTGCATGGGGGGTTCCTCTTGGCCGCCAGGAGCAGAGCTCCTGACGTTACACCCAAGCACCGCGGTGAGGTGGGAACCATCACTTGGGACCCTGTTGGATGGGGGGGAAAGAGAGAAAAAACACAAAGCATACTGCCCGGGGGCAGATGAAAATTATCCTCAAACCAGGTGCTGCCCGTCCTTGCTGCCCAGTCGTGCTGCCTGACCAGCTGTGTAATTTTGCTCACTGCAGCTAGGCTGCTGTGAGGAACAAGAGAAATGGGTTTTGAGGCTTTGCCCAAAACCCAGAGGTTGCTCACTGCAGCGACTCTGCAGTGAGGAGCACACGAGTTTTGAGACGTCTCTCAAAGCTCAGGGACCAACGGAACAAACTGACGGAACGGAAACAGAACGACAAGCTGCAATGCACTGCAGTGAACAGAACAGAACCGCCACCGGCAGTTCACAGCTGTCTTGAGGCGCCTCAAGAACAGCACACAAGGACCTCACAGCCACCCCTCACCCCTCACCCCTCACCCGTCCCTCAGCCCCCTACTCCCTTGTGAAAGCTGGCGCTGCTGGTGACAGCTGCTGCTCCCTCCTCCGCACTCCAACCCGCCTCCATCCGCCCTGCCATACAGGAATGCAAGAAGGGGGGTCTACGGAAAGAAAGATTAGTTGCTGGTGAAGATGCGAGCGAAAATAAAACGCAAAACACAAAACAGAAATTGAAACAAGCGACAAGGAAACGAAACGCATGTGAAAACAGAGCGGAAATGTTTCCCTCCCTGAAAGAAGGCGCTGCTGGTGCTGCTGCTCCCTCCTCCTCCGCACTCCAACCCGCCTCCCTCCTCCCTCCCGTGTAGCTGCTGCTGTCGCACCTCCCGCTCTGCAGCCGCCCCCACCAGCTCTCCACTCCGCCATGCTGCGCCCTGCCATACGGGAATTCAAAAGGGGAAGTTAAGGAAAGAAAGATAAGTTGCTGGCGAAGATGCGAGCAAAAACAAAATGCAAAATACAAAATAGAAATTGAAACATGCGACAAGGAAATGAAAAGCATGCGAAAACAGAGCAGAAAATGGTCCCCTCCCTGAGCCCCGTACTCCCTTCTGAAAGAAGGATGCTGGTGCTGCTGCTCCCTCCTCCGCAATCCAACCCGCCTCCCTCCTCCCTCCCGTGTAGCTGCTGCTGCCGTGCCTCCCACTCTGCGGAACAGGAATGCAAGAGGGGGGAGCTAAGGGAAGAAAGATAAGTGGCTGGTGAAGAGAATGCAAAAAACGAAACAGAAATTGAAACATGCGACAAGGAAATGAAAAGAGAGGGGTCATGAGCAGTACAGCATGAGTGGAAGAGGCTGAAGAGGAAGGAGGGAAGGCGTCACGGAAACCTTATCAGGAAACACCCGTCACGGACCATGTTGCTGAGCTGAAAACGATTGGTTGATAATCAGTTTATCAGTATCTCAGAAACTTTACGTGGAAGTGTTCGCGGAATCTGAAACGGTGGAATTAACTTAGCGGTTACGAATAATAACTACCGCGGTTATAAGCTAAGAGGCGAGCAGTTAACATGATCAGCCTAACAGAAGCTATACGCTGACACGGCTCTACCAGTTCTCCCACTGAAAAAGGCTTATATGCCGATGAGCTATCATAAATCTTCTTAAGATTATAATCGTAGTAACCTACATCTCTGAGAGATTTTGACAGCAGCCATGGCGAGATGAGGAAGCCATGGAAACAAGCACGAGCTAACGCTGACTGGAGAGCATCAGTGACATGAATGAATGAACTGGAGAATTCGGCAGAGGTGACTGGAAGGGCCTTGGGAATGTCGCCGCTGGGTTGACTCTGTCTCCAGGAGGCTGCATGCAATGCTGGACGGAGGCGACGACAGGTGACAGGGAGTCGCCAAAACAGAGGCTTCCGCTGGTCTCCGCCCGCCGCACAAGTCGCCGCAAAGCTTTTGCGAGCGAATGACAAAAGCGTAACTCGAGGGTATTGGGGTCAGACGACTTTCGCCACCGGAATGGGAGTCCAAAGTAACCGAAAGCTGCGCTGGGCCGGACGAAGCGCGGCTTTTTGAAAATTCTAGGCGGGAGACTTCTGCAGCAGGCGCGCCAGAAATGGTTTCGCCGCAATGCGGAATTGGAACATCTCCGCAAGGGATTATTTCCCCAAGTTATCCTTCTACAGTAATGTATCATCACGCACAGCCATCTACAGTGTAGACTCCTTTCAGTAAAATAAATTAATATTTTTACAAGTGAGACTGGAACAAGATGTAACATTATCTGCGTTTGCAGCGAGAGTGGCATCTCAAGGGCGCAAGACACGCCCTACCTTGATGTGACCATTCTCATCATTTGTTGGTTCTAATATTCATGAGCACCACATTTCACAGCCACCTATCCGGCCGGGCACAACCAGGCCAAACATTCGTGTAGCAGTTGACATACTTGTCAACCGCTGTATCACCCCGACCCTGCACCCTGCACCCCGCACCCCGCACCCCCGACCCTGCACCCTGCACCCTGCACCCTGCACCCTGCACCCTGCCCCCAGCACAGCACAACACAGCACATGCCACGAGCGGCACAAGGTGTGCCTCCCAGCAGCACAGCTTGCAGCTGACAACCAGCCCACTGTGACCCCCATGGCCACCAGTGCACCCACCATCACCACCACCACCACCAGGAGTGCAGACACCGCCTTGTTGAGTGCCCCTGGCGGCACATAAGACCCTTCCACTTGCTCCACCTCAACGCACCCATCTGCGATCCCCACGGGCCGCAGTGCAACCAGCATCACCCCTCACCCTCAGCGCCAGCAGTGTGCAACCAGCATCACCCGTCACCCTCAGCGCCAGCAGGGTGCAAGCAGCATGGCGGTCAGAGCCAGGGCCAGCAGGGCAGGGAGCACAGCAGCGAGGAGAGCGAGTGCAGGTGGCGCGAGCGGTACGCGCGGTACAGCATGAGCGGCGTGCGCGGGGGCAGGGGGGGCGGCGCGCGCTGCCAGCGCTGCGAGGTGGGATCGCGTGTGAAGACGCGTGGGGCTCCGCTGGGGAAGAGCGTGTCTGTGTCTGGTGACTGGGCTAGCAGGCGGTAGCAGCTGCAGGGATGGGCAGGGGAGGAGCCGAAGGGGAGGGGACAAAAGGAGAGGGGTCATGAGCAGTACAGCATGAGTGGAAGAGGCTGAAGAGGAAGGAGGGAAGGCGTACCAGGAGGGGTGTGGGGAGGGTGAAGAGCAGCGGGAGGGGTGTGGGGAGGGTGAAGAGCAGCGGGAGGGGGGTGGGAATGGGTAATGTGAAGGAGGTGAAGGAATGGCATGGAGCATTTACTCGTTGCAATGTCATGCCCTAGTGTTGCCCTAGGGATCAGCAACAAACAGTCCTCACCTGCGGATGAAGGGCAGGAAGTCGGGGCCCTCAGCCAGTGGCGATGTGGAGTTGGCGTGCAGCAGCTCGTGATCCGTCATGCTCAGGCGCTGCCGGGCCAGTGCTGCTGCATCCATGAGCCTGATGGGGGGAAGGGAAGCAAGGGGAGAAGGGGGAAAGAGGGGATGGGGGAATGGGGGAAGGGGGGAGGAGTGGAGAGAGATGCGAGACGGTGAGTTGGTGACCTGTCATGCTAATGCGCTGCTAGGTCAGTGCTGCCCCGTTCATGAGCCTGAGGGGGTGAAGGGGGAAGGGAAAGGACACTTGGTTGGGGTAAAGGATGGAGAGATGAGATGTTTGGCTGGCGAGGAGAGAATCAAGGGAGAGAGCTGTTGAGCTGACATGCAACATGCTGCAGCAGGAGGCAAGGCAGTAGGATGAAACGGAGTGTCAGGTTGCCTGTACCTGGTGGGCGGCAGCACGAATCTGTCAATTTGAGTGTCGTAGAAGCGGGTAAGGCGGCCCTGGGGACAGAGTGGGCCGCACAGAGCGGTGCAGAGCGGTGCCAGCGCGGCGGGTGGCAGGGTGGAGAGCAGAGTAGGGGAGGATGCGAGCGGCGGTAGGGAGGGAGACGGCGAAGAGGAAAGGAGAGGGGAGAATGAGGAGGAGGACAGGAGTGGGGAAGGGGAGGAGGAGGAGAGCGAGGAGGGAATGAGAGGGGAGGAGGAGGGAGTGCTGTGTGCGCGTGTGCTGCCAGTACCGCCGCTAGCCGGAGTGCCACCACCAGTGCGTGCAGCAGCATCAACAGGCCGCCCTTTCTCAGGCGTACACACACTGCCCTCACGGCGCCCCTCCCGCCCCTCCCCCTCTCCCCCCTCGCGCCCCTCCGCCACCAACCGCTCCTCCTCCCCCGAGACCCCTCCCCACCACCCACCCGCCTCCCCTTCCGCTTCCCCCTTCCCCTCCTCCTCCGCCTCTCCCCCTTCCCCAAAGAACAGCAGCACGCTCCGCAGCACAGCATCAGGCCCGCGCTCTTCTGGGGTGAATACGCGCGGGGAGGCTTCCCCAGACGCCACGTGGACTGCCAGTCCGCGCGTGCGGGGCACAGGGGCGCGGCGGGAGGGGTCCCACGTGGTGTTGAGGGGGAGGAGCGCGAGCGTGCAAAGGCGGAAGGGGCGCGGGAGCGCGTGCAGCGCGGTCACCAGCGCGCAGGCTACTGGCAGGGACGTGCCCGCGGGGAGAGGAGGGGCGAAGGGGGCGCTGTCCGCGCGGGAAAGGCTGTAGTACGGGCTGTTCGGGGTGGCGGTGGGAAGCGGAGGAAGCAGAGACGACGGCGGAAGGTGCTGTGGAGGGGAGGAGAGGTGCAGTGGCGCGGGGTGGTGGTGTGGGGTGGCATCCAGGTGCAAGGGATGCATGGGTGGTGCTGTGGCTGGGGATGGCGATGCTGCTGCCGCAGGGCTTGATGGGTTGCCGTGTGGCCAGGCGCTGCCATGTGCACCTCCCTCTCCTGCTCCTGCTTCTGCTCTCTCTCCTGCCCCTACTTCCGCTCCTGGCCCTGCGCGCATGGCCCTGTTACTGCCGCCACTGGCTGGGCTGGGGGCTCGCCTGCGCTTGCACCCTGACTGCCGCCCGCTGCCGCTCCCTTCCTGATAACCCTGCTGCTGCTGCTCTTGTGATTCCTCATGCCGCACGCGCTCCTGCTCCTGCCTCTCCTGCTCCTCCTCCCACGCGGCGTGGATGCTCTCTGTGTGCCCCGGGTCGTCGTCAAACGCGCCCACCAGGTGCAGCTGTGGGGGGGCCAGGGGGGTACAGAGAGGCACGGCCGGATGGGCAGAGGGGGGCAGGACGGGGAGAGGAAATGAGAGGCAGGGAGGAGAGGGAGAGAGGGGATGCAGTGCAGAGGCATGGCAGTGGATCGCGAACGAGCGAGGGTAAAGCGCGGCAGAGGGAAGCAACGAGCAACGAGGAATGGCTTTGCACGCGCGCACGCATGCCAGTCCCCACAGGGGAGCATGCGCCTGCGGCACCATGCCATACCTGTGCGCCACACCCACATGCGCGTCATACCTGCAGGGGAGTCGGATCGTGCGGGGCGAGGCGCAGCGAGGCGAGCATGGTGGCGAGCGCGCGCAGGGCGCAGAGCGACGCGTCCACGTGCGCCAGCGCCGTGCGCCCCGTGCGCGGATGGCGCAGCGCCACCGCCACACACGTCGTCATCTCGTCCGTGCCTATCACGTCAACCAGGTCCACGTCAGCAGTTGCCACCTCAGCTTGCGCCACGTACACCAGCCGCTCCGGCCGTCCCTGCTGCGCCTCACCCCCGTCCGCCTTCCTTGCGCCCTCTTTCCCGCAATCTCCCGCCCCACCGCCCCCCTCTAGTTGCGCGCGCGCCCCTTCCCCCGGTCCAAGCTTGCGCGCTCCGTCCCCATCTCCGTGCCACTTTAGGCGATCGAACAAGCCGCATTCCGCATTCCGTGCCGCTTCCTCCGCTGGTGCTGCCGCTACTGCTTCTCCTGCCACCCCTGCCGCGCATTCTTCGCCTGCACGAGTGGAGGCACGCGGAGGCGTGGCCGTCTCCAGCGGCAGCGCGGCATTGCGCTCACAACCGTCAGCAGTGCTACCAGCATCACCGTTACCAGCAGCCCCGCTACCAACAGTATATCCACCAGTTATCCCCGCTGCAGCATCACGCGCTTTAAGCACACTCGCACTCAAACTGCGCCAAATCGCGCGGGGAAGCGCATCACTGCCAGCATCACACGTGTCAGCAGTAGATTCCTCGCCACGTGGCGCGCCGAGAGAGCGGCTCCCCGCGCCGCCCAGCAGGTCCCGCTGCCGGCGCATCCACTCGCCCCCTCCGCCCTCCCGCCCTCGGCACACCGAGATCCCGCTACCGTTAACGCCGCCGTTACACGCGGCGCCGTCACGGCCACCTGCGTTCCGCAGGTTCCCCACTTCCCCCTCCCCTGCGCCTCCTTGCGCCTCCGCGCATCTCAGCTTTTCCGCTGCACGCGCGGCAGCCAAACTGGGGGAGCGTGATCCCCCAGGGTTTGGGCCAAGATGCGCGGAAGGAGTGGCGGGGGAGGGAAGAGTTGCCGGTGGGGTGCTGAGGGTTGACTGTATTGCCGGCTGGCCGGCAGCATGACTGTCGGACAAACGATCGTCGCTACCGCATGCCGGCCGCGCAAAATTCTCTCCTTCATCGTGCTTAGCACGGAATGGACCAGGGACAGGACCGGCTTCCGAGCCTGAGCGGCCGGTTCGGCGAAAGAACTCATCCGAGCCAGCGACGAGGCTCGGATGCGTGAGGAGGTAACGGAGCAGCGCCGTGCCCTGCGCGGTGCGGAAATGTCGCACGGCGGAGGGCGGGGTGAGTGGAAGAGGGCAAAGGTGGGAGTAGGAAAGGAGGGAGAAGAGAGGGGAGAGGAGAAAAAAAAGGGGGTGAGAAGGGGAGGTGTGGGAAGTGGGGAGAGGGAGGGAGAGAGAGGGGGAGAGGAGGGGAAGGAGGGGATTGGGTGGTTTTGCATTGGTATTGAAGAAGGGAGGAGACGAGGGACACGGGAGAAGTGATGCAGACGTGGTGAGTAGTGGACGATTGCTGACGACTGAACGAACGGGATGAGCCGTGCAGCGGAACGTGACAAGACGGGAGTAAAGCGCGCGTTCGACAGACAAGCGTGGGACTAGAGCGGCGAGAGCGAAATACAAGAAAAAAAACGGAAGCAGGTTTAGGTGTCGACGCCATCTCAGTTTCTTCGACGCGCTCCCGTACGGGTCAAGCGCACGTACCGCGAGATTGCGCGGAACCGGCTGGTTGTCTATAATCAGCATCGCGGCGCCTCGTGTGAGTCCGTGAAGCCGAGCTGGGTACTATGTGCGCGACTCGCACGCACTTAAACTCTTCGCTAAGGTCCTATGGCGTCACGACGGTGGTGCACACTCAAAACTTGTGGGAGACGCAAGAGCTTAAAGCGTATTCTATCCACTACCGAACCATGCTGCTCCTTCGGACGCTACGGCAACAGCGAGGGACGGAGCTAGACTATGATTGCACGATGCATCTGCGCAAGGAAACTCGATTTTATGAATGCGGAAGACAGTAGACATTGGAGCCAGTTGCACCACAGATGATAAGGCCTGGAAAGCAACCGTCCGTCAGACCAACACAGTGGCGTGAGGGAAGGAAACCATGGAAACAATCATTTGGCTATGGCGGTGGGGAGGGTGGGAGGCAGGGAGAGGAAAGCGTAGACGGTAAGTTTGCAAAGAGGGGTTTTCCGAGCGGTGCAACGTGGTAAGTGTGAGGGGTGCAAGAGGGGAGAAGCTGGTGGGGGTGGGGCTGGCTGGGCGACGAGAATCGGGTTTGAGGAAGAGGGGGATTTGCCGTGTGATTGGCGGGCGACAGCGCATCGAGTCAATGTGGTTTCGGTTTCTCGCAGGTAGGACCGAACGAAGGGTACTGCTGCTGGCGGTACGGGGAAGGGGAGGGGCGATTTGGACACCAGCAAGCTGCAGGCGACTGCTGCGATTCGCTCGCTGTGTATGAACAGTAATCACCTGTGAACTTGTCGCGGAAGCCAGGGTGAACGACGCGACAGAAATCGCACGGAGTCGTAGAGTGGAAGCGGGGACGGTCGCACTTGCAACTTGCGACGGTGCAAACTGTACGCGATTTCGGTGTTGTGTTGGCAAACCTGGCTGGCTCTTCACCTGCGCCCTGACTAAGACTCTATTCGTCATTGTCACAGTGCGAATAGGTCAGCCAATAGAAAACGAAGCATTCGGTACGAGCGCTGTGACATTCGGCCGACGTGCAAAGGACCAACCACAATTCGTCGACACCTGTTATAATGGCGAAAGGCAGCACAGTCACTCCTGGCGACTGAGAGTCCTATCATTACTCACCTGTTTACAGTGACACAAGACCAGTTACACATACTATACAAATAGAACGATAAAGAATAATGACATTGCGTGAAATGACATAATGGTCTAAATTAATGAGTTATGGTTTATTTTTTCAACACATATTCTAGTTTTCTTTGTGTCACAGCCCCTGTAAATTTTATATATTCTGTATATATTCACAAGCTTATATCGAGGATGTTTCATAGCGATCGTACACCCTGCTTTCGCCTGGCATGTATGCACATGTGATGTTTGTGCGTGCGGCGGGCGGGAGATTCTTTGGCAACCGTCCTTGTCAGGAGGCAAGTGAGGTGCACGCGTTCAGCAGCACTTGCCATTCTCGCCCTCATTTCCTCATCTTTCTTGCAGAAGCAGAGCAATATTTCGTTATCTACGTTTCCTAATCGTTGAAGCAGTCTTTTGCTCGCGTTCATGGGTCCTAAGAAGGGGAAACGAGGCGGAGGCGCAGGCGGAGGTGGCGGTGAAGGGCCAGCTGGCGCGCCCAGGTAAACTGCTCGCTCGCAGCGCCTTTTAGGCTTCCTCCTCGCCTTTTCCAGCTCGCTATCTTTACTCTAATTCTTACTTGTTGTTTAGCAAGAAATCTTGTTCCCGTTGTTGTCGTGACTCGCTATGTCTTGCTCGTTTGGGTAGATTCTAGGAGATGGGTAATAAGAAACATGTCATCATGCTTCTGTCTCTCCGGTCTCGTCCGCCCCTGTCACTCGCCTCCCTGCGTGCAGCGCAGCACCGCCGTCGTCAGCAGCAACGTCTCAGCCGCCCGCGGCGGGCAGAGGCGCGCCGTCTCCCGCAGGAGGAGGTCGGGGGGGGAGGGGCGCACCCGGAGGGGGGAGGGGCGCGCCGCCAGGGGGAAGAGGTGGGCCCGTTCCCGCAGGAGCACCAGGGGGAGCGGGAGCCCCTGGCGCAGGCGGAGGGCGCGGACGCGGGGGGCGCGGGCGGGGAGGACGCGGAGAGCAGGCGCAAGGAGCGGGGGGTGTTGGGGGCATCACCGCAGGCATGGCGCAGATGGGCGTGTCCGCGCCACCCGCGGATTTCCCCGCCCTCGCACCTGCGCGCGCCCCCGCCCCCGCACCCGCGCGTGGCCCTGCTCCTACCCCCGCACCCGCTGCCCCTACCCCCGCGCCTATGCCCGCTGCTGCTCCGCGCGCGCCGGCACCTGCTGCGTTTGCGCCTGCCCCCGTACAGGCTGTGCCCGCCCCCGTAGCGGGTGCTCCGCCGGCAGCAGCGGCGGGCGTGGCGGTGACGATGGCGGGCCCCGCGGGCGTGTCGAGCAGGGCGCTGGTGGCGGCGGCGCGGCCCGATTTCGGCAAGCTGGGGCGGCCCGTGATGCTGCTGGCGAACCACTTCAAAATCGACTTCCAGGTGCGCGCGCGCGCGGGGATGGGGCAAGGGGGACAAGGGGGGGGGGGGGGGTTGGGGGGGGAAGGCGGGGCAAGTAGCTTGGGACATTTTTGTGGGGTTGTACGTAAGGGTGTGTGATGGAAGGGGAGGAGAGGGTGGGACGGCAGGCAGAGCGGTGCAAAGTGCGATTGCCCCGTAATGCTCTCGCCCCTTCCCTTGGCATCCATCTCGTCCCATCTTACTCTCCTCTCTCTCTGTACCCCTTGTATCATTTTCTTTGCTCGCGTAGCTGCCCTTAACCTGCCCGTGCTGCCACACGTTCTTTGCCCAGTCAAACCTCTTTTCCCCAGGACCTGGTCATCTACCTCTACGATGAGACTTCTCCCCCGCGCTCGCGTCCAAGGCCGTCATGCGCAACACAAAATCCGCTCCTCCACACGCCCCTTCCCTCCCATTCACCCCCCTCCTTTCCCATTCCCTCCCTCCCCTCCCGTCCCCTCCCCTCCCCTCACCTGCTTTCTCTCCCTCAACAGGACCTGGTCATCTACCATTACGACGTGGACTTCTCCCCCGCCTTGGCCTCCAAGGGCGTCATGCGCGCAGCCATCCGCCAGCTGGCGGAGACCTACAGCGCGCAGCTCGTCTCCCCTGCCCCTGGCGGCGCCCCCAGCGCCCCCGTGCGCCCCGTCTTCGACGGCATGAAGAACATTTTCACTGCCCGCCCGCTGCCGTTTGACAGCCAGGAGTTCTGCGTGGTGCTGCCCGAGAAAGACGAAGCGGCAGGGGGCGGGAGAGGCGGAGCAGGCGGGGGGAGGGGAGGTAGCAGCAGTGGTGGTGGGCGCGGGGGCGGGAGGGGCGGGCGCGGAGGTGGGGAGCGGAGGGAGCGGGCGGTGAAGGTGACGGTGAAGCTAGCTCAGCAGTACCCCATGTCGTCCATGGCTTCCTTTCTGCAGGGGCGGCAGGCCGACATTCCGCAAGTGCTGCTGCAGGTGTGTTTTGAGTCGACTACGTGATGGTGATGGTGAGGGTGAGGGTGAAGGTGAGGGTGAAGCTAGCTCAGCAGTACCCCATGTCGTCCATGGCTTCTTCTCTGCAGGGTCGCCCAGGCTGACATTTCGCAATTGCTGCTGCAGGTGCGCTTTGAATTGACCCAAAAGGTGTGGTTTGAGTTGACCCAAAACACACATGAGAATGAAGGTGACGGTGAAGCTGGCGGCGCAGTACCCCATGTCGTCCATGGCCTCGTTCCTGCAAGGGCGCCAGGCCGACATCCCCCAAGTGCGTTGCTGCTCTGATGCTGCTGCTGCTGCCAATTCGCATCAATTCTTTTCCCCCTTGACCCTGTCCCTGTCCCCATCACCTCTTGGGCCGGCCTTGCCCCTTTCTCTCCATCCATCACCTCCCTTCCTCCTCTCCCCCTCCCACCCACCCCCAGGCACTCGACGTGGCATTGAGGGAGCGACTCCTCACCAGCCTCACCCCGGTGGGTCGCTCGCTCTACTCCGCCTCTCTCGGCAGCACGGCGCTGGGCGGCGGAGTAACAGCCTACCGCGGCTTCTTCCAGTCGGTGCGCTTCTCCCAGCAGGGCCTGGCGCTCAACGTCGACATGGCTGCCACCGCTTTCCACCACGACATGCCGCTCCTCACCTTTGCCGCTGACTTCCTGGGGCGTGGTGGGGGCGGGGGAGGCGGCGGGAGAGGCGGGGGGAGGGGTGGGTTCGGGGGGAGGGGTGGTCGGGGGCCGGGAGGGGGAGGAGGAGGCGGGTTTGCACCGAATGCGTCGCTGAGCGATGGGGAGAGAGTGAAGCTGAAGCGTGCGCTGCATGGGATCAAAGTGGGGGTCACTCACCGCGACACGCCCCGCCGGTGAGTGCCCCTGCTACGCCTACCGTGTTATTATTCTGGCCCTGTTCCTCACCACCAGAACTGGGAAGGAGCTTCTTCTTCCCAGCCCCACTCCCTCTCCCTCTGTACTTGCCGTCCCCCCCCCCCCTTGCCCCCCTCCCCAACCCTTTCCGGTCATATACACTTTCGCTACCGTGTTTCTGTCCCTCCGCTCGTCCGCCCCTCTGCAGCCATCCACCCACCCCTCCACCTTCTCTTCTTCCCCCTTTCCCCATGCAGGTACCGCATCCAGGGTCTCACGCGCGAGCCAGCACACGCTCTCACCTTCACCATAGAAGGGCAGGGGGAGACCTCCCTGGTGGCCTACTTCCGCTCCGCCTACGGTTACACCATCCGCCACCCCAACCTGCCCTGCGTCATGGCGGGCGGCGGGGGGAAGAGCTATCTGCCAATGGAGGTGTGCCACATCATCGGCGGGCAGCGGTACGGGCCGAAGCTGAACGAGGAGCAGGTCAGCTCGCTGCTGCGCTTCACGTGCACGCGGCCAGACGTGAGGGCGGGGGAGATTGGCAGCATGGTGACTCGCAATGACTACCCCAAGTGAGTGGTGGTGCTGTGGGTGGTGAGGTGAGCTAAAGGACTGACAGGGCTGTGCCGCGTGGCCAATGTTGTTCTGTGTCTCTGTCCCTCTACCTCGCTTCATTGAATCGTCCCGGCCCTGCCCTCTCTTTTTTCTCCACACACACCACACTCGACTCCTCCCTGCCCCTTTTATGTTCCCTCTCTCTCCTCCGCTCCGCCCCATTCTCCCGTCCTCCCACTCACCCGTGCGAATGGGAGTGTGGCATGGGGCACCACCGTCGTCTTCCCTCCGTCTCTGCATCCTCTCTCCCTCCGTCTCTGCATCCCTCTCTCCCTCCGTCCCTTCCTCCCCTCCACCTGCCACTGACCCCTGTGCGCCTGTGTTGAGCATGCATGTGCATTCAATTACACATTGTACTCACTGTGTCTCCCCTCCCTGCGTCGTGCTGTTCCGCCATCCCCTACTCCCTCTCCCCGTCTTCCCCTCCCCCCTCCCCCCTCCCCCCTCCCACCATGCAGCGACCCGTACGCCCGCGAGTTCGGCATGCGGGTGCATCCCGAGATGGCGCGCCTGCAGGGCCGCCCTTAGTCACTCTCTCTCTTCCCCTCCCTCCATCGTGCTTCCCCACCCACCCCCCGCACCACCCCCCCGCCTCCCACCATGCAGCGACCCCTATGCGCGCGAGTTCGGCATGCGGGTGCACCCCGAGATGACGCGCCTGCAGGGCCGCCTGCTGGACCCGCCCCGCCTCGTGTACAAGGACAAGAAGGACGTGCGTGATCCGGGGGGAAGAGGGGGGAGTTGGGGGGGGGTGGGGGGAACGGGGGGAATAGGAGGTGTGTGTGTGGATGGCCGCCTGCGGGAGCCGCCTCGTCTTGTGTACGAGGATAAGAAGGACGTGTGTGGGCTGAAGGGGAGGGTGGATGGGAATGGGGGGGTGTGGGTGGGTGGGAGGGTGGGGTAAGTGCCAGGGTTCCACCCTGCTCAGTGTATGGTGACAACAATGATGTGCGTGCTTTGCCCCTTTCTCCCCCATCACTTCCCGTCTCCCCCTCCCTCCCCTCTTCCCCTCTCCTGTGCACGAGGTGGCACCGCGCTGTGGAGCGTGGATGCAATATTCTTACCACCGCGCTGTGGAGCGTGGATGCAATATTCTTACCACCGCGCTGTGGAGCGTGGATGCAATATTCTTACCACCCACACCCTCTCTCCCTCCTCCCACCTTGTCCTCCTCCCCTGCCAGGTGGTGCCGCGTTTTGGAGCGTGGAACATGATGGGCGGGCAGTGGCTGATAGACGGGGCGCGCATAACGCACTGGACCATCATCAACCTCGCGCCCTACCTTGACTGCTGCCGGGGTGCAGTGCTTTCCCCACTTGCACCCTCTCCCCTCCCTCCCCTCTCTCCCGACCCTCCTTCCCCTCCCTCCCCTCCCTTCCTTCCCTCCTTCCCTGCTCCCCACTAACACACCAGGTGGTGCCAAGATTCGGAGCGTGGAACATGATGGGCGGGCAGAGGCTGATAGACGGCGCGCGCATAACGCACTGGACCATCATCAACTTCGCCCCGTACCTCGACGCCATGGGCGTGCAGCGCTTCGGCCAGGCCCTCACGCAGCGCTGTGCTGAGCTGGGCGTGCATGTGAGTCAGCAAGATTCAACAAGAATCAATGCGGGAGTCACGACGGGAGTCAATGGGAGTCAAGACGGGAGTCATGGGGGGTAGTGGGGCACCGGGGTCAATGGGATTTGACAGGGAGCAACACAATGGGTCCAGTACTGTCACCACAATCCCTCACTTGTCCCTTCCTCATTCTCGCATATCCATCCTGCTTCTCCTTTCCCTCCTTCCCCCCTCATCCCCTTCCCCTCATCCCCACTTCTGTCTTATGTCATCTCGCTTCCCCCTTCTTCCGTTCCTCCTTCCGTCACTGCCTTTTTTCCCACCTTTCTCCCTTCACCCCTGTCTCTCTTCTCCCTCCCCCTCCCCTCCCCCCATCAGATGGAGCCGCTGCACCACTGCCGCCTCTCACGAGCCGCGTGGAGGCGGTGGACGCCCCCTCCTTGCCTCACCACCCCTGCCCTCTTTCCCCCCTCATCCCCCCCCCTCCACCATCAGATGGAGCCGCGTCCAGTGGTGCCGCCCCTGACGGGCCGGGTGGAGTCGGTGGAGGCGGTCATGCGCCAGCTGGCGGACGCTAGCAGCCGAGCGGTGCCGCCCGGGCAGTGGCTGCAGCTGGCGGTGGTGATCCTGCCGGGCCGAGGCACGTTCTACAACGAGATCAAGCTGATCGCTGAGACACAGCTGAATGTGGTCACGCAGTGCTGCCTCGTGAACCACGCCCAGAAGTGAGTGCTTCCTGCACGCGCCCACAACTGCATGTGCCTAACCACTCAGGCACCAGAGTGAGTCAGCGAGAGTGGTGGTGGCATGGCATGGCGGGCCGAGGCATGTTCTGCAACGAGATCAAGCTCATCGCTGAGACTCAGCTTAATGTGGTCACGCAGTGTTGCCTCGTGAACCACGCCCAGAAGTGAGTGAATGTGCTGTGTGAACTACACACAGAGGTCAGTTGAATTGGTGGTGGCATGGCATGGACTGGCATGGCACGGCACGGCATGGCATGGCATGGCATGGCATGGCATGGCATGACACGGCACGGCATGGCATGGCATGACACGGCACGGCATGGCAAGGCATGGCATGACACGGCACGGCACGGCATGGCATGACACGGCACGGCACGGCACGGCATGGCATGGCACGGCACGGCATGGCATGGCATGACACGGCACGGCACGGCACGGCACGGCACGGCATGGCATGACACGGCACGGCACGGCATGGCATGACACGGCACGGCACGGCATGGCATGACACGGCACGGCACGGCATGGCATGACACGGCACGGCACGGCATGGCATGACACGGCACGGCACGGCATGACACGGCACGGCATGGCATGACACGTTCTACAATGAGGTCAAGCTCATCATTGCTGAGATGGCACGCAGCTCAACGCCGCCCGTCACCCAATGCTGCCTTGCCTTGCCAACCACGCTCAGAAGTGAGTGCTGTCTCGCGAACCGTGCATACAAGTGATTGTGCCGAACCACGCACGCGCACCAGTGAGTGAGGGGAACTGGTGGCAGCATGGCACGCTCTACATTGAGGTCAGGTCAAGCCCATCGCTGACACGCACCTCAACGCCGTCCGTCACTCAATGCTGCCTTGCGAGCCTCGCTCACAAGTGAGTGTGCGTTGCTTGGAAGGAGGGAGGCTCTGACTGATACATGTGATGTGAACCACCAGAGGAATGCTCTCTTGACACAGTGGCAAGGCAAGGCTCTTAACGAGTCTCTCAACATGCCCCTAATATCACCACGCACCATTTCCCCCTCCCCGCTTCCCTTTCAGGTGCCAGTCACAGTACCTGGCCAACCAGGTATTGAAGATCAACGTGAAGGTGGGCAGCCGCAGCGTGCTGCTACAGTCCCCATCCTCCCACCCCTCACCACCCTCTCTCTCCACCCTTTCCCCCGCTTCCCCTGTTTCGCCTCTTTCACCCCTTCACCCCCCAGGTGCCAGTCACAGTACCTGGCGAATCTAGTGCTGAAGATCAACGTGAAGCTGGGCGGGCGCAACGTGCTGCTGCAGTCAGAGAGCATCGGCCGCCTGCCCATGGTGGCCGAGCGCCCCACCATTGTGTTCGGCGCTGATGTCACTCACCCCAGCCCGGGGGATGATTCCTCGCCCTCCATCGCCGCTGTCGTCGCCTCCCGGGTGGGTTAGGGGAGGGGGGTGGGACCGTGGGGGAGGGAAATTGTGTGATGAGGGAAAGCGAGGGGGGAGGGAAAGCGAGGGGGGAGGGAAAGCGAGGGGGGAGGGAAAGGGGCGGGGGATGGGAAGGGAAGGGGGGGAAGGAAGTGTTGAGTGGTACGAGGAGGCCATGGGGCGCATGGCCCATGGTGGCTCACCCATGCGCGTGTCTGCTATCTTTCAAGGCTCCTCAAAACTCATCGCCACACAACCCCTTCCCCTGACCCTCCCCCACTCCCCTTCAGGACTGGCCGTGTGCGAACCGGTACGGGTGTCTGCTGCGCACGCAGGCGCACCGGCAGGAGATGATAGAGGGGCTGCACGAGGAGCGGCAGGGGGCGGACGGCAGCATGCAGGCGGGCGGGCTGGTGAGGGATCTGCTGATGGAGTTCTACCAGACCGCCAAGCGCAAGCCTGAACGTATCATCTTCTTTCGAGATGGCGTCAGCGAGGGGCAGTTCTACCAGGTGCGCGTGCAGTGCGGTGCTGTCTGATAGTCTCTTTACATTTGTCTTGAGTTGACTCGGTGTGTGTGTGCGTGAGCGCCCTGTGATCCAGATACCAGCAATGGATGCATGTGACACATGAACTGTCCGCATCACCACACTTTTACCTCTCTCCCCGATTTCATCTCCCCGCCTTCTACTTTCAACTCCAGGTGCTGGCGTACGAGCTGGAGGCAGTAAAAGCCGCGTGCCGGGCCATGGACCCATCGGGCAGCTACAGCCCGCGCATCACCTACGTGGTGGTGCAGAAGCGGCACCACACGCGGCTGTTCCCGGCGGACAACAACCGTGACAAGAACGGCAACGTGATGCCGGGCACGGTGGTGGACTCGGTCATCTGCCACCCCAGGGAGTTTGACTTCTTCCTCAACTCCCACGCCTCCATCCAGGTTGGTACCTCTGCCTCTGCCCTCTTGCCCTCCTCACACCCCGTCCCCCCCCCCCCTTCCCTTGCGTGCGACTGGTATCGACTTTCTCTCCACTTGTCAGCCGCTCCACCTTTGCCAAAGCGAGCCATTAATCACCCTTTTCTCAAGCCCCTTCTTCCGCATCCTCATTCTGTACCTCCCCACCCAGGGCATATCGCTCCCGACGCACTACCGGGTGCTGTGGGATGAGAACAGCTTCACGGCCAACAGCATGCAGGCCTCAGCACTCTGAATCCCTCTGCCCCCTCTCCGCCTCTCTTTTCCCTCTTATCTCTCCTCCCCTGCCTTTTCCCAATCCCACCCCCCCTTCTCACCCTCCTCCTCCCCTCACCCCAGGGCACGTCGCTCGCGTCCGACGCACAACAGGGTGTTGTGGGACGAGAACAGCTTCACGGCCGATAGCATACAGGCACTCTGCTACTCGCTCTGCCCCCTCGCTTACCTTTCCGTCGAATAAAGTTTCAATCAACCATCTTCCTACCACTACCCCCTACTTTGCCCTCCCCTTCCCCCAGGGCACCTCTCGCCCAACACACTACCGGGTGTTGTGGGACGAGAACGGCTTCACGGCCGACAGCATGCAGGCGCTCTGCTACTCCCTCTGCTACACCTACGCGCGCTGCACGCGCTCCGTCTCCCTCGTGCCGCCCGCCTACTACGCTGACCTGGCGGCCACGCGCGCGCGCCTCTACCTGGAGGGCATCTCGGGCAGCATGCGGGGGAGCGGGTCCGAGAGTGGGTCGGCGGCCGGGCGGGCGGCAGGGGGCGGCGAGGTGGCGGGGTCGGGCGGCACGGGGAGCTCCAGTGGGTCGTCGCGGGTGGGCGGGGCACCACCTGTGGTGCCGCTGCCGGTGGTCATGCCTGTCCCCAGGAAGGGCATGTTCTTCTGCTGACTGCAACCCTGCTCAGGCCTGCTCCTTGCCTGCCCGACTCCTTCCCGAGCCGTGGTCTTTGGCTGGCCACCTCCCTGCCATGTCTGCTGAAGAAAGACGCTGGTCTTCCATGGTGTGCTGCTTGTTGCCTTCACTGGCTGGTGCTCTGTGATGCAGTGTGCGACGCAGGGATGGGATGGAGGCTAGGCTGGGCTAGTCGGGGCCAGCAGTGGCTCGGGTCGGGTTTGTGGCAATATGCTGCCATGAGCATGGCCTTGTACATTGGACTCCCACTTGTTTCTTGTACAGTTTAACTACCATATGTTGTGGTGAGGTGGGTGATGGTGCTATATTACCTTGCTGCTACTTCGTGCACTGGTAATGTAAATCGATGCGGTTGCTCACTGATAGTGGATGTTATGTTCGTTGAATCACTTGTCTTGGAGACAGAAATCCATGGGATCATTTGCACCAAGCAATGAGCCCGGGGTTGCTGCGGATTGTGTGCTAGGTAAGCTTAACTTTGGTGTAGGGAGAACCTCCTCACCAGGGGTTTTTTTATCAGAGTAAATTACTCTGTTTCTCTGAAAATCAGAGTGGTTTTTAGGGGGTCACTCTGACGTGTCTGGGTAATTTTTTTGGAAGATAAGTTTTCTCTGATTTGTCAGGGTTCTGATTTTAGCTACTCTGAGAGACAAGTGTATATTTGTGGCGAATGTATTTTTCTCTGTACAGTGTATAGGCATTTCGACCAAACTAACTGCAGTTATAGGATTTCCGGCAGTGCATTGTAAAGGGAGCGCGTAGCACAAAGGTTACAGTTTTGGTAGGAGTGCAGTAGGCCTGGGTTCAATACTTGAGAGGACATTGAAAGATGGATAAATCAGTTCCTTGATTGCTTAGAGTATATTTTTCAGAAGTTTAAGTTTTCTCTGACAAATCGGAGTAACTCTGTTACGAGTGCAATTGAGTGAACGAACGAGAATTGCACTATTGAAGCAAAAGTACAATGACCGAAGGCATGAGCGAAGAATATATAGCGAAACTACAGTGGTAACGGTAATGGACTGTGGTTGTCGCGCGACGGGCCTGGGACTGAGGTTGGGAAAAGTGTCGAAGCGGAGGCCCGGAGCGCGGGTTACCCACCGAGCCGTGAGGTCGGGGTGCGACGTGCGAAGGTGGCGGGCGGATTGTCGATGCGAGGATTGCGAGTGGTAACGGTGCTGACTGTGGTGCTACAGTGATGTATGCGTTGAGAAGGAACGCGAAGTAAGGAAAAAGAGATTTTCCTTACACTACCCCCCCCCTTAAGGAGGTCCTCCTTACGAAAGTGCGTGTACATCCCTGAAATTCCGGCTGCGCAGATACTCGGTGAGGACGGGGTGGTTTTCGATTATGTCCAGGGGAACCCAATTGTCTTCGGTGGGTGTACGGTCCTTCCAACGGAGTAAGAACTCGATCCTTCGGGCTCCTCGAGGGTCGCGAACTCTGTGACTCAGGATTTTCTCGGGGGTGATGATTGGTTCAGTCGGTGGTCTTGTCATGCTGGCTGGGCGATTGCGTGGCAGTTGGCTCGTGGACGGGACGTAAGGGCGAAGCAGGCTGACGTGGAACGAGGGGCTGACGTACCAGTCAGCAGGGAGGAGGAGGTGGGGCTTATGCGAAATGGCCCGCAGTATCGGGGGCGGAGTTTCGGGGTGATAGGCAGTCGGAGATTTTGGGTGTCAAGCAAAACTAAGTTGTCGGGCTGGTAAGTGACATGTCTGCGGTGGCGGTCGGCGTTGCGTTTAGCGATGATGTTAGCTTTTTTAATTGCGTCTGCTGCCCTGGTCCGTGCTGCTTGCAAAATTTCGGCGAACTGTTGCGCGCGTGGAACCGGGTTGTCGGGACTCGGGGTCATGGGTACTGTTGGGTCTTGTCCGTAATTCAGGTAAAACGGTGACTGTTGGGTCGTGGCGGATGGGGCGTTGTTGTATGCGAATTCGATGAGTGGCAGTTGCTGTTCCCACGTGTTTGGGTCGTCGCACGTGGCCCGGATGAGCTGTTCCATGGTCTGATTTGTCCGTTCTGTCTGTCTGTCTGTTTCGGGGTGGTACGATGAACTAAACTGTAGTCGCGTGCCGAACTGCTGCCACAGGTTCCGCCAGAAGTTGCTGGTGAATTTCGTGTCTCTGTCGCTGATGATTGATGCTGGTATCCCGTGTAGTCGAACGACGGTAGAGATGAAGAGGCGGGCTGTTTCTTCGGCTGTGATTGATTTTTTGCAGGCTGCGAAGTGTGCCATTTTCGTCAGTCGATCGACGACGACCAGGATCGCGTCATTTCCACTCGCCCCGGCCGGTAACCCCGTGACGAAGTCCATCGTCACCTGCTGCCAAGCACGCTCTGGAGGTGGGATTGGCTGCAACTGTCCCGCCGGCCGCTTCCGTGTTGACTTCATGGTCTGGCAAGTGGGACACGATGCCACGTGTCGCTGCACGTCGGTCAACATTTCGGGCCAGTAATAATACCGCTGCAGCTGCTGCCTTGTTTTCTCTACCCCGAAATGTCCCGAGGTAACCCCGTCGTGTGCCTCTTGTAATAGTAATTCCCGTAGCAGTGTGTACCCTGGTACCCAGATGCGGTCGGTCCCGGCTTTTACGTAATAGACTCCCTTGGCTGCTGCGAACTGCTGCGAATTTCCTCCTGTGAAGAATGGGTCCGTTTGATATCCGTGGGTAAATAGTCCTGTCAGTAGCGGGCTGGTCTGGGCGAGTAGTATCGCGTGGATCTGGGCAGTGGGGCGGGTCAGTGCGTCGGCGATGTTCGAGGCTCCTTTTTTATAGGTGACTGTGTAGTGGAAGTTTGACTCGAGGAAATCGAGCCACCGAATCTGTCGTGGGTGGAGGTGGGGCTGTGCGCGGAGGTACTGTAGTGATCGGTGGTCTGTCCGTACTGTCACGTCTGCGCCGGTCAAGTAGCAGTGCCACACTTTGAACGCATGCACGATCGCGAGCATTTCGCGGTCGTGTATCGGGTAATTTCGCTCGGGCGGATGCAGTTTTCATGACTCATATGCGATGGGCTGTAGGCCGTTGCCGAAGTCCTGTAGCAGTACGACTCCAATGGCGATGTCGCTTGCGTCTGTAACAACCTCGAAGGGGCGGTGTGGGTCGGCGATGCGCAGGACGGGCGGTGAACAGAGAAGGGCAGCATGCTCTTTCTCCCCCCACGTAAAAACGACCCCCTTTCGCAGTAAATCCGTCAGCGGGGCAGTCAACTGTGCCATGTCGGGGACGAACCGACGAACATAATTAACGAACCCTAAAAAACTCTGCAGATCGGTGATGTTCGTCGGGGGACGCCACGCTTTTACCGTATCCAGCTTCTTTGGGTCGATTTCAACTCCAGCCTCCGAAATAACGTGCCCCAAAAATTCTAGTCTGTCCCGAAAAAACTCGCACTTAGAGCCCTTGGTTAGTAACCGATGTTCCTCTAAAACATTAAATACTGCTTCGAGATCCGCTAAATGCTGCTGCTTGTCGCGACTGTAGACGAGGATGTCGTCGAGGTAAACTATCACGCATTTATCTAAGAGTGGCCTAAACGCCTCGTTCATGGTCATCTGAAATGTTGCGGGCGCGTTGGTCAGCCCGAAAGGCATCACCGTGTACTCAAACGACCCGTACCTAGTCCTAAATGTTGTCTTGGCGCAGTCCGATGGTTCGACCCGAATCTGATGGTAACCCCCCCGTAAGTCTATTTTCGAAAACACCCGTACTGTTCGCAGTTGGTCGATCAGTTCGTCGGCGCGGGGAATGGGGTACCGCGACTTGACTGTTACCCTGTTGAGTGCTCGGTAATCGATACACATGCGAAACCCTCCGTCTTTTTTCGGTGTGAACAGTATCGGTGCAGCGAACGGTGACGAACTTGGTCGAATAAACTGCTTCTCTAACAAATAATCTAACTGCTTCCTCAGTTCGTCGAGCTCGGGCTGTGTCAGTCTGAACTGGCGCTGTACAGTTGGCTGTGCCCCCGGTTCTAACTCGATCCTATGATCATGCGCCCGCTGAGGTGGCAGCCCTTCCGGTAAGTCGTCTGGAAAAATCCCCGGGTACCGTTTCAACAGTTCCTGTAGTTCGGGCGGCACTGCTGCCAACAGTTTCTGAAAATCGCTCGGCTGCTCCGCTTCTCCTACTAATGCTATATCTACTGCGTACACGTCAGCTCCACCGGCGACAACCCGTTTCATCGTGATGGCGTTGACGTGGACCGTTGAAGTCTCGGGCGACTGCCAGCGAGGTAGCATGACCCAGTTACCGCTACTTCGCACAGTGCAGCTACCCGTCGTCCAGTCGATTCGTGGGTTGTACCGTCGTAGCCAATCACGTCCTAGTAAAACATCATGCCCATCCAATGTCGTCGCGAGCATTTCCTGTGTAAACCCGAAGTTTCCCCCGCAGCGAACTTTTACTCTCTCCACCTTCTCCCGTATGGCCAGCGGCGTGCCGTCTACTAAGCGTGCGTCGATCTCAGGTAAGCAGCGACTAAGTGTCAGTTGTAATTTTCACGCAGTTGCGGTATTAACTAAACTGTGGCTTGTTCCTCCGTCAATAAAAATCTTCACTGCTGCTCCCTGTATTTTCCCGTGGATCAGTACTGGGCAATCCGTCGTTGTACCCTCCTTATTCATCCGAGCCCGATCGATGGCGTGAATCGGTACTGTGACTCGGTGAGGGTCGGTGCGGTTGGGCGAACAGGCAGTCTCGTCAGTAGTTGGCCCAACTTCTACTGACTGCTGGCGTTTCCCTGCCTCTGAGACTCCCTCCCCTGCTCTGCTCCGCGGCGCCTTAGCTCCTCTGGGCATTCGCTCTTGCGATGGCCCGGCCTGTTGCAAGCAAAGCAGCGCCCCTTAAACGGTGCGGCAACTGCATTTGTTGCAACAGCGTTTACAGTGGCGTGCTCGATCGGTCCCCGAGGACGATGTCCGTAGTAGGACCCCGGTCTCGGTCGGCGTAGAATGTCGATTTTCTCGGCGA